AATTAGTCAAAAATCGTAGCAAAACCCCAAAAAAAGTTTTATTAATTGTTTAAAGACGTTGGAAGTTGGAAATATGCATTTATTTCTGGATAATTTAAAACAAGTTGTAGTTATCCATTGACTTATATGCTATTTTTTTTATATAAATATAAACAATTACTATTATTCTTCGCATTAATGTGATAAACGGGATTTTTAAAATTAGTAGGGTGTGATCCACATTTTCATGCACTGATTCGAAACAGAAGAGTGTGCATCTACACGTGGTTTTGTACAATTGCGTAAATCTAACAGCAATTTTTTTTTTTTTTTTTACTCTTCCATTTTTTAATTTTCAAAATTCAATAATTATCCCACTAAGTTTTCGTTAATTCCAAGAATCTATGTAAAATTATTAATTTTTATTTTTCAGGCGAAGGTTTTCCACTACGGGTCAATTAGTTTGATAGTGGAGCCATGCAGATCAGCGCATCTGAAAGCAATGGAGGTGGCGAAAGATGCAGGGGCACTTTTGTCATATGACCCAAATCTCCGGCTGCCACTGTGGCCATCGCCGGAGGAGGCGCGTGAGCAAATCATGAGCATTTGGGATAAGGCGGAAGTCATTAAAGTCAGTGATAATGAACTTGAATTTCTCACTGGAAATAACAAAATTGATGATGAATGTGCTATGTCTTTATGGCACCCTAATTTGAAGCTTTTATTGGTCACTCTTGGTGACAAAGGTTGCAATTACTACACCAAGGTATATGTTAAATAATTAAATTTGTTTTAAGTAATTTAAATGTAGTAACACTTTTTAAAAAATGTTGAAAAAAAGGTACATGGCATAAAAAAAGGGGGTAGTGGGCATATTTTGACCGTTTTTCTCTGGTCAAATTTTTGGGTTTTGTGAATTTAATAAAAAACGCGTTCTTAATTTCTTATACCTAACGCACGATTTAAAAGAATATGTTTAGACCAAATTTTATGTTTTTTTGAAATAATACCAATACGAGAAAGTACAACTTTGGATGGACATTAAGTAGAAAAGGGAAAAGAGTATCTATATATGAAAAGAAAGTAGTGTTGGAATCGTTGGTTTTTTTTAGTGCTAAATGAGTTGTTTTTTGGATTTACTTTTATTTATGTAACATTTTTTTTTAACTATTTTGGTAAACTTGCTCATAATTATGTTTTTTTATCAATTGAAAATTTCAATTTTCTCCTTCAAATTCACCCAATTGTTGCTATATTTCATGATTAGAGCTTAAAGTGCTTGATTAGTACGCGAAAAGGGGCCACCTCCAACTTTATATAATAATTCCATTTCATTAGAAATGACAATAAAGAGTTAAAGAGTCAGACATCATGATTATATCCACAAATGGTGTACATACTTGACAATTGATATAATGTGCTTTTCATGCCAAAAGTAAAATATTCTCCAATTTAAAGGCTTAACCCCTACTCTTGCATCTAGAATAAAATAATAACAACAATTATTTTATCATTATTCTTTAATTTATATTGTCATTGTGGTTGGTTTCAGCATTTTCATGGAACAATCGGTGCGTTCGCTGTTAAAGCCGTTGACACAACGGGTGCGGGTGACTCCTTTGTTGGTGCACTTTTGACTAAGCTTGTTGATGATCATTCCGTGCTAGAGGTAATACAACTATCAGTGTTAGCTGTTGATGTGCTTCAACAGCTAAGTAGTTGGGCTTTAGTGTTAAAGCCCAACTATTAAAAATATTGAAACTAACTATAGAAGCCTAAGTAACGAACTTATTAAATAAATTAAAGTATAATATAATTGTTTGTAAGTATAAATTTTGTATTTAATTTTTTTTGATTATATATGAAAATACAGGATGAAGGAAAGTTGAGAGAGTTATTGAGATTTTCGTGTGCTTGCGGAGCTATCACCACCACCAAAAAGGGGGCGATTCCGGCCCTTCCTTCTGTATCGGAAGTTCATACCTTTTTGGATGCTTCTCACAATTAGGGAAAACTTTGTTTGTCTATTGTTTTTGGTCTTCTTTCTTGATCGAATAATAATGGTTTTGTGTTATCATCCATCGGTGTTTAAAGAAAACAAAAGATGAAATCGAGTGGCAAAACTAGGGATTTTGTGATTGAATTGACGAGATTTATATGTTTAGATTGCTTCTTGTTTTGTTTTGTTTTGTGTTCTAGAAAAAGGTTTGATTTAAATACTAAATTTCCAATTTTTTGCTTCCATCCTTTACCCCTTGCAAATTGGTTAAACTAACAAAAAAAAAAAAAAATGGCGTTGATATATTATACAAAAAAAATGCACAAAAAAAGAACGTTATTCAATTGATCTATATAATTACATTTACAATATTGAAAAAAAAAACCCAACTTTTATGGCTTTATATTAAAAGTTTATAATAAATAAATTAAATTCGTCAATACATGGACTTCTCAGTAGCTATTTAACTTGTTTGATTATAAATCAAAAACATATAATGAAAATGGAAAGCAACTTGTTCATATATAAGCTTTAAAATATACGATGGTAACATTAACAATTAATTAAAAAATATTAATGTTGAATTCGTCGTCATTGGTGACACATGATACATATGTAATTAGATATGTTTAATTCATCTTCCCATATATTTTACATGATATCCGGGTAGCGTCCAACATCCTAGTGTCTTAACAAATCTTTGTTTATCCTCACCAAACTCCCATCTATCCAAAGTGTTATAGTGTTATAATATTGATGCAACAGAGTCCTATATATATTGTAGTCATCCCTCTCTCTCCAAAGGCTTTTATGGAGGGTAAACTAAGGACTCCTCGTATATCAAGTATTATGGTTAACATTTAGTATCTCAATACATATCAATATCTATCCTTATCGAGCTCTTATTTTTAGGTAGGAGGGGGGGGGGGGTGTTAGGGAGCGCATACACACAAACACACACACATGCACATACACACATGCGCATGCACACACACATATTCTCTCTCTCTCTCTCTCTCATAAGGAGTAGCAAACCAACAACTACATATATCTAATGGTGTAGTGCATCTCAATGATATCACATGATCCTATCTCACATATATGTTGATGTTTCTCATCTCGTCACAAATAATTTTTGGAAAGTAAACCAAGACTATGTATATCTAATGTTATAGCGTATCTCATAATGGTACGGCACGGTCCTATATGTCACACATATATGTGTGAGACTAAACCAATGACTCCACATATTCTTACTGTTAGGAATAATGTGCAAGAAGTAGATAATTTTTGTACTACTAATTATGTGTGAGACTATGAGGTCACACACTAGAATCTATAAAAGATTCATAAAGGATAATAAATATTTATTAAATATCTTATTATTTATCAACCAAATAAATATTAAGTAATAGAGATTTAGTTATTATATATAAATCCAAGCAAATTAAAGCAAAATAAGTTAAAGAGTTTTATTTATAAAATAAAATGTTTATTTTGTTTTAACTAAATTATTAATTTGTTGACCTAACTTATTAATTGAGCTAGAAAAGGCTTAATAGTCTTAAAAAAAAATAACAGTATTTAAGGAGGTAATAAGCATAATTATGGTATTAAGCAAGACAAACTTAATACCTTAATTTCATCTACTCTCGTCCCTTCTTTGGCGATGTCTACTAGCTAAGGAATATCAATAAACTCATTCAGGTTTATCGATTTTTCACGAGATGAAGGTGTTTCCTTGATATTTTGCTTTGATTAGTTAAAGATCAATACTTCATCAGAATTGGCTTGTGTTAATACACACATATACAACCTACTTTGGTGGTTGTATCCTACATCGAAGCTCTGAAGGTATGTATTCTAAGTTACATATCTCTTATGGTTGTGTTTTAAGCAGATAATATTATGTCTATTTAGATCCTTTGAGATTGTTGTTAATACGAATATCAAATACAATGAGAATTACATTTCCAATACACAAAAATTAGTGATCACAATACAAAGAGTGAGAAGGCAAATGTGTAACAATTTGCGCCACTAAACCCTTTTGTATGATAAAACCAATTATTTTGAAGGCTACATCTATAGATCTAGGGGACACAACATTGCTATGCATCGTCCGTTGTACTCTATTTGTAACGACCCAATATTTTCAATTAAAGTTTTCATTTTTAAATTAGCCAAGCATTCCCATAAAATGTGAAGTAACATTAACCACTGTTTTAAAAAATTCCTAACATTAACATTTTAATCAAAACACCAGAGTGTCTCATCAAAACAAATATTGGAGAGTGCACGTCGCGCCATCAAGCCTTGCCCTTGCCCTTAGACTCTGAAGTACCTGAAACAAATCAACAAAATGTAAGCTAATGCTTAGTGAGTTCCCCAGAGCATACCTTACACCCAATCCACATAAACACATATCATATTAACTATAAAAGCTACATATACCACATAAGCCATGCATACAAACATATAAGGATGTTATGGGCTCCTCCCAAGGTCTATTTCCAGGATGTCATGGGCTCCCCACCTGGTCTTACACCTAAGTGCTATGGGCTCCCCCACATGGGCTTACATCCAAGTGTCATGGGCTCCTCCCATGGGTTTTACTTGAAAAGCCATGGGCTCCCCACATGGTCTTACATTCAAGTGTCATAGGCTCCTTCCATGGTCTTCCATATAAGTATTACATATATAGCTAACATAACACTAAGCATAACTAACTATCATACCACATATCTCTACAACAACGAGTGTACCACATATCACAAATGGGCCGGCCTTGGTGCCTTCGACCCATTGGTATGGTGAGGAGACTCACCTCACGTGAATGCTGAACTATCAAACTAAGATCAGATAAATCACGCGTGCTGCTCCAACTCAACTACCTATAATCAACATGTAATTAACTTGTTAAAATGTCGAAAGACTATAGGTGCCCTCAAAGTCAACCCTGGTCAAAGTCAAGGTCAACGGTACATGTTGACCTTAATTCGTCGAGTGCATCTTAGTAACTCGTTGAGTTCCTCCCGAGTCCATTCCACTGAATCCCATGCCAACTCACCGAGTCACTTAAGTGGCTCGTCGAGTTCGTCAAATGTCGAGAAAACTCAAAGTTCATGCAGTCCCAAAACCCTAATCCTTCACTACAGTCATTCCGAATCTCGAAAACAGGTAAACCCTACCCGACTCGTCGAGTCAACTAAGGGACTCGACGAGTTCCTTCGGTTCCTTTTTTGTTCAACCCTTTTCAGTGGGATCTAGGGTCCCAAAATTTAGATCCAACTTCCCTTAATGCATTTACCACATAAAGTTGCAAACTTTACGTGCATTCAAGGCCTCACAAGGATAAAACATCAAAACTAGGCTTCATACAAGGTTTTAGTGCATGGAAAGGGCCTAAGCTGGATAAAGTAAGCAACTTTATGTCATTAGGGACCTAGAGAGGACCAGATCTGGAACCATATCCTCGTGATAAGTCCAAAATTTGAGTATGACTCCATTTTGCACCAAAAATGATCATTTACTTCAAAGAAAAGGGATCTAAGCAACTAAAGATCAAGGTAAGGGCTTTATACCTCCAGATGGTTGCCAATACAGAGTAGATGTCAGATCTACTACTTCTATTCTTGCTCCTTCTTCTTCAAGCTCCAAAATCATTCACAACCACAACAAAATTACTCACAAACTCTCTCTCTCTCTCTCTCTCTCTCACTCAAGGAGGTGCAAGGTTCAACTAGGGTTTTCTCTGGCTAATAAAGTGGTAAGGGAGGCCACAAGAGGCGGTTTATGTTCTTTAAATAGGATGCAAACCCTGAAAATTAGGGTTTTCCTTAACAATGCCTACTCGTCGAGTCGGGGCCTTCCGACTCGTCAAGTAGGATTTAAAATCCGCGTCCTCATAATGACTTCTACTCGACGAGTTGGAGCTAACTCGCCGAGTCCATGCACAAAACCCTATAATTTGATAAATTAAATAATACCTGGAACAGGTGTTACACTATTAAGAAGATCCACCGCATCCGGTGCGAGGAAACCAAACATATCAAACACAAATGGTATAAACACGTATTGATTTTCCAAGCACGATTTCTCATGTTTTGTGACTTTGCATGTGGTAGATTTTAAAGCAGCATATCCCGTCTTGACACCCCCAACCCTTAAGCCCACGAGAGGGGATACCCCTGTAAGGTCCACACAAGCACGTTTCCCTCCAACTCATCCAACAACCAAAACATCAGCTGGTCTAAGAGTTGACATTCCTTCTATCGGGCCAATTAAGATATTCAAAGGTAACTCTTTGTTGGCGGAAACTTCGACACACTTAAATATGTCAAGAAAAACATCCCCACCATATCGTGTCGATGTTTAAACCCCAAGAGTTCTTTACAATGAGCTGCATGATCTCCAAAAGAGTTCAAACTTGCCTTGCGGCACACCAGACACATCTCTTTAGTTGGAAATATAAGAATCATGAGCCGATATTTAAGGATAGTGTAATACTTCACATAAGACATATGTTAGCCAAGGCCATCCATAGGGATAGCTAGAAGAAAATCTTGAACATGTGATGCTCGTAAACACTCAAAAACTATTTTTTACAACTATTTTAGATTATTACAAACCCCAACATCTAGGGGTGAGCTTTGATTATTTATACTTCATACCATTTGTTTCAAGGTTTGTAATTCATTGGATATAATACTAATTGTAACACCCAGAATCAGGAAGACCAAGAAAGGAAAGAAAATCCCTAAGTCAAAGGAGTCAACTCTTCGAGTCCAAGGAGGAACTCGACGAGTCGGAGCGTGAACCGTGTCGCAGATTAAGCGACCGACTCGGCGAGTCTGGTCTGGTTTGGGAAACCCTAATTTCCGGACTTGGTACCCTATTTAAGCATCATTTCAGGCCTCCACCCCAGCCTCCATCACTCCCTTTACCTACTCTCGAAACCCTAAGCCTCCATTGTAGTGCTCTCAAGCTTTCTTTGCCATTTTTGGGTGCTTTGAAGCTAGAATGAAGAAAGGAACCTTTGGTGATTCAAGAATTGACAGTAGATTCTGAGTTGGTGTGATATTTCATATCATTTGAAGGTATGAAGCTCATACCTTGGCTGTTATTCATTTAGATCCCCTTTCCTAGTTAGATTTTATCATTTTAGGGCTATTTCCAAGGTCAATTCGTGTATTGTGCCTTGGTG